CACGTGGCCTGAAACTTGCAACCACTGCACAAAGAATCCCTTCCCCTTACCGGCTCAAATGCCTGTAAGCTCATACCCTATATAAGTCCCACTGCCTCACTGCCAGGTGTGGCTTCCCCGACCTAACTCGTTGGGTCTCCGAACCCGCCCAGGGGCTCAAGATGCCCCTGTCCCTTTCCCTGATCTCCCTTCCCTCCCGGGAGTTCTTTCCCTGCCTCAATAAAATCTTTCTCAACTTCACATTCCTGACTAAATTCTATCTCTGTTCTGTGCTTCCATCTCCAACCTCTTAGTTCTGATCCATACAGTTGAATGCCTTTGCATAATATTAACATACAAACATCTTTTTGGCATTCTTTACATTCAGGCAAGATCTGACATTGGCAATTCATGTCCTCTACTGAATCCAACTAGAATTTATGGCAACTCACTGTTGATGTACTCTTGTACCTGCTTTTTATATTTAGCAAAATGTTACTTGCATGTGATATATTAATGATATTGCTTGATAATTTCCACATTCTGCTGGGTCACCTTTCTTTGGAATGGGCAAAAACATGGATCACTTCCAGTCAATATGCCTGGGAGCTGTCTTTTAAAATTCTTGGCATATACTAGTGAATCTTCTAGTGCTTCATCAACTTGTTGGAACATTTCAGTTGGCATTCTATCAATTCCTGGAGTCAGAATCAACTCAGTAGCAGCGAACCTTCAGTGCAGCATGGACTTCTTTCTCCAAAATCATGGATCTCTGATGAAGCTAGTGTTTGAACTAGCTGAATATAGACCCAATTCTTAATTTTTTTCTTTAGTTCTTTCAGCTTGAGACATGATGAGTGTGTTCTCTTTTGGTTTTCTAACTCCATGTCTTTGCACATTTCATTAGCATTGATGAAGGTTCACTTACACTCATTTATATAATAATTTCTAACATTTGCTTTAGCTACTTTATGTTGAAGAGAAAATTTCAAAATCTCTTCTGACATTCACTTTGGTCTTTTCTTTCTTTCTAATCTTTTTAATGAGACCTTTTGCTTTCTTCATGAACCATGTTCCTGGTGTCATCCCACAACCTATCTGCTCTTCAGTCATTAGTGTGCACACAGGGTTGGTATGCGTCAAACAACACCTAACAATAGTCTGTTCTTAGCCCAGAAGAGACACTGAAACCTGTTCACCATGGTTCAACATCTTAGCAATACGCAAGCCACTATATGCAACAAACTGACGGGCAGGTGGGGAGTACTGCCCCTAGTCTATCTATCTAAAATGCTTAAGTGTGGTGGTGGGGCATGGCTTTCCTTTGATCATGCTAGCCAGTGAATATACAAACAGTTCGAGATCACTTGAAAACTACATCTGTGGGGGAGACAGACAGAGCAGAGCACATTAAGCCCTGGCCCACTAAGCCCTGAGGACGATATTCCTGCTCTCCTGCTCACGGGAGCCAATGCACAGAGAGGACCATAGGGCCAGCTGCACTACGAGACATGATGTCCTTCACTGACCCATAGTGCTATGGGGGACATCATTAGAGACATAGTGTAGGAATTATGCCTGATCTGATCCCACCACACTGAGGCAAAACACCAAGGGCGTGTAACAGAACAGCACAAGGGGAGCAAAGCAATGAAGTCCCCAGGGAATACCAAAAATAGATTTTTAGTTCAGGGCATGGCACTCCATCAGACTCAACCAGAATATACTCCTAAAGGTTAATAAACAAACCCTGACCTATTTACAAGCATTTCTTTTGTCATTGGTTTTTGTTGTTGTTATGTTTTCTTTTGTTGCTTTGTTGTTCCATGTCTTGTTTTTGTGCACATTATTATCTCTGCAGGTCTATCTAGATAAGATCGGTGGGATAAACAATCTGGAGGAGAAAACAACAGGACCGACAGTTCCCGGGGGACATGGGAGAAAGGGAGGTTGCGGAAAGGAAGTGAGTGTTAACAAACCCAGGGACAAAGGAACAACAAGTGATCTAAAATTGATGGCAAGGAGGGTATAGTGGCCTGGTAGGGCTTGATCAGGGCAATGTAACTGAGAGGAATTACTGAAACTCAAATGAAGGCTGAACATGACAGTGGGACAAGAATAAAGTAAAAGGAAATAGAGGTAAGAACTAGGAAGCAAAGGGCATTTATAGAGGTCTAAATACAGGCATGTGCATATGTAAATACATTTACATATGATGAGGGAGAAATAGATCTATGTACATATATTTGTAGGTTTAGTATTAAGGAAGCAGATGGAATGCAAGAATACTTTGTTCTGTTAACCTCGCATTTCATGATGCTCACCTTCCTGACATGATTGCTGAAGACAAATGGGTACATAAGCAAATGCGGTGAAGAAAGCTGATGGTGCCTGGCTATCAAAAGATATAGCATCTGGGGTCTTAAAGACTTGAAGATAAACAAGTGGCCATCTAGCTGAGAAGCAACAAAGTCCACATAGAAGAAGCACACCAGCCTGTGTGAACACAAGGTGTCGTGATAGGATCAGGCATAAAAGAACAAAAAGTCCTATCATTGTGAATGAGGAGGAGTGCGAAGTGGAGACCCAAAGCTCATCTGTAGGTAACTGGACATCCCCTTACAGAGGGGTCGTGAGGAGATGAGCCAGTCAGGGTGTAGTATAGCACCAAAGAAACATACAGCTTTCCTCTAGTTCTTTAATGCTTCCTCTCCCCTACTATAATGATCCCAATTCTACCTTACAAACCCAGCTAGACCAGAGCATGTACACTGGTACAGATAAGAGCTGGAAACACAGGGAATCCAGGACAGATAAACCCCTCAGGCCTAATAACACGAGTAGTGATACCAGGAGGGTAAGGGAAAGGTGTGGGGTGAAAGGGGGAACTGATCACACAATGATACACATATAACCCCCTCCCAGGGGGATGGACAACAGAAAAGTGGGTGAAGGGAGACAACGGACAGTATAAGACATGAAAAAGTAATAATAACTTATAAATTATCAAGGGTTCACGAGGGAGGGTGGAGAAAAAAATGAGGAGCTGATACCAAGGGCTCAAATCGAAAATGTTTTGAGAATGATGATGGCAATAAATACATATATGTGCTTGACATAATGGATGTATGGAATGTGACAAGAGTTCTACCAGCCCCCAATAAAATTTTTTTAAGAAAACTACATCTGTGGCTGTAGTTTAAAGGGTCTTAGAGGCATATTGCCACCTCTTATTGATTTCTGAGTAATACAGATCAAATTGCCAATTAAAAAAAAAATCTGACTTCTAAAATAAGCAAAATTAAACAGATTGTATCTCCTATGCTTTAATAGACGACAAACCAGACGTTTAAAAACTGAAGACCAGTTTTCAAATGTTTCCAAATAAGTTTGCAATAGTATGTTGATCTTTTAAGAGTTCAATTCTTCCTTAACAAGCAACCATAGATCAAAATGGGAGCATTTGTAGGGTAAAGCACGGAAGATAGGAAGGGATAGGAAAGTCAGACAAATAGAAATGATAAACAGGGAGGAAGTGGAAGGAGTGCTGTTCATTGTGAAGACTGCAATCAATATTACAAAATAAAACGTAAAACAAATTTGTTCGGTAAACATTAGCCCAAATATTACTTTTTAAAATCTTATACTTAATGCTTCATAAAGTGCTAGACAGTTCACAATGAAATATAAGTACAGCAATCAGTTTATCAAGTGGAGTAACTTTTGAAAATCTAACCACAGAGCAAATATTACATATCTTCATGCTTACCCTTAAAAAGTACTAAAATATTATAAAACAGAGGAGCTGAGAGAGCAGTAGATTCACACGTCCCCCATCGGACCTTCACTTCAAATGTATGTCAAATGGCTGAATGGCTGAATGGCCTTTACTATATAAAATAGTAGTTTTTCTTCTCTCTGTACTTTTTTTTGGGGGGTGGTGGTTTGGTTTTATTTCATCTCCTATATTTTAATGCAGCAAAGTTAAAGGAAATTCTAATATAATAAAAATCTACTAAAAGAACATGCATTAAATCAGGTATACGACTAGGTTATTTTATAAGAATTATCTAAGGTATCTCTCAAGGTTTTTGTGTAAAACTGATAGGTAAGCCACAGTAGAAAATTGCAACTTAAAGAGTTTTAATGCAGCAAAAATGTGGAAATGTTTGCAGAGTCTTACCTTTTTCCGTAACAACATATGAACACCTATTTTTACATTCACTGGGTCTCTCTGAAGTCCACAAGAAACTGGCAATATTGACTTAGTTTGGTAAAGAACTGGGTGGCTGTGGGATAAAGGAGGGAGGCTTCCCACTTTGAAGTCTGTATTACACATGTGTATTAACCAATCAAATATAAATCAAGTCAGGGGCAAATCTGAGAACAGTAGAGTGAAGGCTGAACAAGATGATAAATATAAGTTGTCACTGAACAGTTCATATAAAGATTAGTTCAAAATGCGAACATTTTACTATGAGGGGTTTCAAAGTTTGTAGAAAATGGAATGAAATGATAATAGGGCATTCCCATAAACTTTTTGAAGTCCTTGTATTTACCACACACACACATACACGAGGGGGGGAAGGGTGTCTTCAGAAAGTCTGTGGGAAAATTCCACTATCTTTTAATTCCATTTTTACAAACGTTTTGAAAATTTTCTAAACTTTTTGCTGCTCCTTCATATTAAACAAATGATTTTATACTATTATTCCCCAAATAGTTTAATAAAGTCTAATATTTACACTATTTGTGATTCAGCCTTAATTAAGCTGACATAATTAGATGTAAATATTTTTTTATTATAAAGAAAATCAGAACTTATAGTTCGCTTTCACACCCTGTCTGGATTAGCAAGAATAAATGCTGTGCATGATGATTATTAGCAAAATCAAAAAAGGTGCAGAAAAGCTTTCTGCAGGTTGTGTTGCAGAGTGTGTACAATCACAAAGTCCAAGTTCCTGCCATCCAAAATTCGGCTCCATCCAAACAGTCTTTCACAATAAGGGCTATATATTTACCTGGCTGAGAAAAAAGAAGATGAGAAAAATGCTGCGCAAGCTTCTGGAGGGCTGGAGCTCCTCCCAAATGGTCCACATCCAGGAAGGACATCAGACTCTGGAGACACACAAGGGCTCTACACTGTATAGTGTTCATTCTGCAAAGGAGTGAAATGACAGTATATGTTTCTCTAAGCATGACTTAGTGAATTTATTAACCGAATTTAGTATTTTCTCTTAACCTAATCACCAGGTCTGAGAATGCCTATAACCAGGAGGTCTGCAGTGGTTAGCAGACGCCCTGCAGGCACAGTGGGTACATGCTGGACTGCGAGCTGCAAAGTCAGCAGATGTAAACCACAGGGAGCTCTGTGGGAGAAAGATGAAGTTTTCCATCTTGAAAAGATTTGCAGCCAAAAGGGGCAGGTTCTACCCTGTCCTATGGGGTAGCTGTGAGTCAGATCGGACTCCATGGCCGTGAGTATGGCAGTCAGCGAGAATCTAAGAGCCAACTGTTGATGTCCTAAATCAAATTGCTTGAGCACTCAGGCCTCTAAGTCATTCAGGTGTCATAAAGAATCTACTTCATAAACATGTTTATGCAAGACAACAGCTTTAGTTTATACATAGTAAGTACCGTTGAACTCACTTAGTAGGCAAGAAACAAACACTGCTAGCATTCTCATAGCCCATTTACCTCTTCCGAAATATACCTCATCTTCCTGAGCCCCCAAAGGTAATCAGTATCCAAACTTTTAGGGGAAATACTCCCTTAATATAGTTACCACATATGTATGCATGTATTTCTAAACAATAGAGTTTCGTTTTGCCTGCTTTTGATTTTTATATAATGTAAACACAGTGCATATAATTGGTGCCTCTTTTTTGGGGGTAGGGGCACTAGGAGTCAACACTGTCAGTTTAATCTAAGTTATGATTAAATCTAATTGAGATCCTTTGTATTGATGCATATATTCCACTGTTTTATTACGTCAAAATAAAGCCATTGATGGACATTGGGGTTGTTTCCAAGTCTAGAAAATTGTGATTCAAATTGCTGTGAACATTCTCATATAATCATATGCTGACATTTTCTAGGATATATATCTGTGAATAGATGTGTTGGGTCTTAAAGGAGTCAGTATCTTCTATTTAATAGAAGATTATTCTATTTTTCTTATAACAATAAAAAATGTTCATTATTTCATATAACATAATAAAAAATTTTCTTGAAAATAAAAATACCTTACTTTCTAATCAAAGGTTTCCAAGTGGGGTTCTTAGAACACATGTCAACCGCAATGTTGTTTGGAAAAGCAGTTTTCCCAATAATCTAGATTTAAGACAAGCAGTAAAGCAACAGGTTATCAGATTAGTCAATTTATACAATCCTTTATAGAAATTCCAACATATTATGCTTAGTGAAATGATTTAGTCTGTAAAAAATATAGACTTTCTAGTCTGCTTCTCGTAATCTAAATGGTGTTGCTTCTCAGGTCTTTCCAATTATCTATGACTTGGAAAAGTGACTTTATTTCTGCATAAAGAATGAATAGCTTACTTTTTTTAAAAAAATCATTTTATTAGGGGCTCATACAACTCTTTTCGCAATCCACACACACATCAATTGTGTAAAGCGCATTTGTACATCATTCTCAAAACATTTTCTCTCCACTTAAAGTCCCGGCATTAGGTCCTCATTTTTCCCCTCCCTCCCCGCTCCTCCTTCCCTCATGAGCCCTTGATAGTTTATACATTGTTATTTTGTCATATCTTGCCCTGAATAGCTTACTTATGCCTTCCCATAATCTATACTAACGCAAGAATATAAACGTACTTACCTTCTCTGGGATGAGATAGTGAGTGAGCGCAGTGTGAACCTCATGGGAGAGGCATAAGGGAGACAGCAGCTGGCCACCACAGTCATTGAAGGAAGTCTCCATGAAGGCATCACCTTCATCACTGCTAGAGAGTTCTTCCCACTCATCATCAGAGGGGTCTGAAAGGAGTGCAAACCACACGTAACTGCAGTATCTTTAAGAATCTTCACTGAAGCTGCCCTCTCAACCCAGGGCAAAAAACGTCTAAATGTAAACTTGTAACAAACCTTCACTGTAGCACATGTTGACAATAATTTCCAGAGCAGTCTGCTGAGCAGACAGTAGTGCTGTGGTCTCTCTCAGTTCCTTATCCGTGAGCTAAAAAAGCAAACAACCAACTCTCAATGTGGGCGGAAATATTTCTGAGGGAATTTACTTAAAGCCTACAAGAAGAGGCTTGCTTTTAGAACGGCAGACATAGGTAGAGGGGAGAGAAGAAAAAATTATACAGTGCTAGAATTACAAACAGGTATTATAATTCCTTTTGGCACTGAAGAGAGCACAACTCTGAGATATGTTTCCAACTATATACATGGTTAAAGTCTCTGAGTGATTTAGTTAGCTGAGAAGAACATATAAATATTCAGAAATTCTGAATTCAATTTACCCTGCACTAATCTAACATGTTAAGTAGCTTGGTTTACTAAGGTTAAAAAGAGTTCATTTCATAGATTGTAACCTCCACATATCAGAGACTGAAAAAGCAAACAAAAAAAGGGCAGGAAGGGTCAGCCCCACTTATAAGGCACCCAGTGTCCTGTCCCCCCCGCCGCTCCCCCAACTTACTAGGAAGGCCCCATTCCTAGCCATAGCAAAGCCCTGGGTGATGCTAAAACTCCAGTAAAACAGGTCACAAGGCAGCCCTTAGACCTGCCAATGTATGCCCCAAGTGGACATGCACTTCTGTGCTGAGGGAGAAACCCACCTAAACAGGCCCCTTTACCTCCTTTTTTTTTTTTTTTTTTTTAAATCATTTTATTGGGGGCCCTTACAGCTCTTATCACAATTCATCCATCTATCCATCCATGGTGTCAAGCACACTTGTACACATGTTGCCATCATCATTTTCAAAACATTTTCTTTCTATCTGAGCCCTCGGTATCAACTCACCTCCACCCCCCACCCTCCCCATGAACCCTTAATAACTTATAAAATATTTTTTCATGTCTTACACCAACCGCTGTCCCCTCTTTTTTTTCCTAAATAATCTCTCACTCACTGCCGTTGTATCAATACAGACTCATAGTGATCACAGAGAACAAAGTAAAACTGCCCATGGGTTTCGGAGATTGGAAATCTTTACAGGAGCAGAAAGTCTTATCTTTCTCTCAAGGAGCAGCTGTTTTGAACTGCTGACGTTGAGGTTAGCTGCCCAACATGTAACCCACTATGCTACAAGGCTCCTAAACAACAGCCCTTTAAAATTCTTTTCCCACAAACTGGCTTTCCCCCCTTCTTTTTCTGCCACACTACTATTTCTTTTCTCTTTTTCATTGTTCTGTTTTGTGGAATTTATTATTTTTTTCTGGCTCCCCTACCAACTGACATTTTGGCTCACAGGAAAAAAGAAAAACAGGCAAAAACACGTGAATAGCACCCTGATCTAACAAAACTTTTGGATGAAGATAAGGCCATGAAACAACCAGAAAAAAGAATTCATAAGGATGATGTTCAGGCACTTTCAGTAAACGAAGGGTTTGTGATAAAAAGGAAAAAATTTGAAAAATGAGAAAACATAGCAAATAGAAATCCATAAGATTAATAAGGTAACAGAATTACAAGACCTTTTTAAAAACACTCAGTGTTACAAAACTGAAGAAATGAAAAGCTGAATAAACGAACTTGAAGAAAATCTTTACTCCACTATAAGGAACGACTCACACAAAGAACAAGGGTGCCTGAAGAACCCTAGAATCATGCTATCCATTCTCAAGAGGAACAACTTATGTCTGACTGAGATTCAAGAGCAGGAATCACAATTCCACAAAGAAAACGGTACAAGAAATTCTAGAAGAAAACATACCAGCAAACAGCATAAGAGATGAAAAAGTAATAGGAAACAGAGAACCACAAACACAATAGATGTCAAAAGAAAGCTAACTCAACATATATATATATTTTTTAACATTTTATTAGGGGCTCATACAACTGTTATCCCAATCCATACACACATCAATTGTGTAAAGCGCATTTGTACATCATTCTCAAAACATTTTCTCTCCATTGAAACCCCTGACATTAGGTCCTCATTTTTCCCCTCCCTCCCCGCTTCCCCCTCCCGCATGAGCCCCTGATAGTTTATAAATGGGTATTTTGTCATATCTTGCCCTGTCCGACGTCTCCCTTCATCCACTTTTCAGTTGTCTGTGCCCCAGGGAGGAGGTCACACACAGTTCCATGTAATCGGTTCCCTCTTTCCTACCCATTCTCCCTTTACCCTCCCTGTTTCGCCACTCACACCACTGGTCCTATAGGGCTCATCCGTCCTGGATTATTATAATCAATTTTTTAATATCAATTAAAGGAGAGAAAGCTCAGTGGCTAGAGGAAGAAAAACAATTACATACCAAATAAACTCAGATCCTCTTCAGTACCCTTGAAGGCAAGAAGACAATGGAATGATAGAAATAAAACTTTGAAAGAAAAGAAAATTCCAACCAGGAACCTTATTTTCAGCTAACGTATCTCTCAAACATAAAGAAGAAATACGTTGGGTTTCCAGACAAGGAGAAATGAAAGGAAATTATGAAAGAGAGGGGGGGAAAAAGACCAGAAGATAATCAGCAAAAGCAGTAGACAAACCTGACTGGAAATCGGAACACTCACAACAGTATTGACAACAGCTCAGAAATAGAGGAAGAACTAAGAAATCAATCAAACTATTTAAAAATACAGCAAAATGACAGCAACATACCTCCACATATCAACAACACTGATAACTAATGCAATAAATATGTCAGTCAATAGACAGAGAGTACCAGACTGGTTAAGAAAATAGCTCCATGAACATGCTGCTTAAAAGAAACACACCTTAGACATGAGACAAAAAAAGACTAGAAATCAAACGATGGGGAAATTTTAACAAGTTAATGGCAACCAAAACACAGCCGGCATGGCAATATTGATCTTCAATAAAATAAACTTCAAGGCAAGATCCTGACAAAGGGTGGCATATCTAATGATTTAAGGTACAACAGAACTGAAACACACCCTAATTAACTTACATGCACAGACCCTCAAACATGCTAATCAAACTCTAATAGAGCAGCAGAGGGAAATAAACAATACAACAATAGGGCAATTCAAACACACTCTTCAGGAAAAACATATCATTGGCAAGGAATCTCAATAAACAGAAAAACTAAACAAAGCCTTCAACCAGCTTGCTCTCCTAGACATTTACAGAGCACTCTACTGAACAAAAGTACAATATACATGCTTTGCCAGTGCACATCATTCTCTACAGCAAACCGTATGTTAGGACACAAATGAAATGTTAATACATTTTTAAAATTGAGATTTTATAATACATTTTATCTGACCTCAATGCTGTAAAATAAAAAAGCAGTAATAGTAAGAGCAAGGGGGAAAAATCAAACATGGAAACTGAACAATGCACTGTTCTAAAATTACTGAGCAATTAATGAAATAAGGAATGAACTTTTAAAAAATCCCTTGGAACAAAAAGCTGACAACACAACATACCAAAAACTTTGAGACAGAGCAAAAGTAGTACGAAGAAGGTAACTTATAGCAATAAACACATCCATGAAAAAAAGAGAATCAAAACCAACACTTTAACCCAGCATCTTAAACAACTAGAACAGCAACAAAGTAAACTTCCAATCACTAAGAGAAAAGAAACCAGTAACAATGAGAGCAGAAATCAATGAAATGGAAAAAAGAAAAAAAAAATCAAGACAAGAAGTTGGCTCTTAGAATTAGCAAATTGACATCTCTGTCAAACTTAAAATAGAGAAGATTCAAGTATCAAGAATATGAAAAGGTGACATAAAAGATCCACATAAAAATTTAAAATACAACACTATGAAATGCTGTACCCCATCAAACTGTAAAGCCTAGATGAAATGGAGCTATTTCTAGAAATTATCTAACTAAATTAACACAGCGAGAGGCACCAAAACTCAACAGAGCCATAAGAAAAGAAGAATTAACCAGGTCATTAAAAAACTACAAACAATAGCCACAAAAAAGTCCAACCAGATGGCTTCACTGGGGAATTCTACCAAGCATTCAAAGAAGAGGTGACACCGATTCTACACAAATTCTTCTAGAAAATGACAGCAAGCGCCCAACCTCATTTTATGAAGCGAACATAACCCTGATACCACCAACAATGGACCACAGACAGACAGTCCTTATGCACATCGACCCGAGACTCTCAAATACTGGGAAACAGAATCAAACTGTATTATAAAAAATAAAATAAAATACCATGATCAAGTGGGATTCACAGCAGGGACGCAAGGATGACTCAACATTATAAAAGCAATCAAAGTAATACATTACATAAGCAATCAAAGTAATACAATACAAAAATAAGAACTATATGGTATCAATTGATGCAGAAAAGGCATTTCACAATATACAACACCCATTCCAGATAAGAATACTCAACAAAATAGTAATGGTAGGAAAATTTCTCAACACAACAAAGGGCATGTACTAAAAACCAATATCAAAGATCTTGCTCAACAGAGAGAAATTGAAAGCATTCTCCTTGGAACCAGGATCCACACGAAAATGCCTCTTATCACCACTTTTATTCAACATTGTTCTAGACGTGTTAGCCAGACCTACTAGACAACAAAAAGAAATCAAAGTTCTCCAGATTGGCAAATTAAGAGTTAAATTCTCACTATATGCAGATGATATGATCTTATTAACATATGTACAATCATAAACTCAAAGAGCTGACAACAAAAATTGTTGGAAATAATCAAAAGATTAGTAACATCGCAGGATATAAGATCAAGATACAATTTGACAGCTGTATTTTAATGAATAGAACTCTGAAAATTAATCAAGAAAACAATAACATTTACAATAGCCACACAAAAGATGAAATACTTAGGAATAAACCTAAATAGAGAAACAAAAGACTTGTACAAAGAAAACTAAAGAACATTATATGAAAGCAAAGGGACCTACACAAATGGACCCACGATCATGGATAAGAGGACTAAATATTGTGAAAATGTCAATACTACCCAGTCAAACTAAACTCTCTGCCATCGAGTTAATACTAATAGTGACCCGACAGGGCAGAGCAGAGTTGCCCTGTGAGCTTCTGAGAC